AAGCATTTAAGGAGCACCTCCTCGCCAAGTACAGTTCCCCTGGTCCAAGCCTGGGGCTGTGCCTTCACTGAGGAGACGGATGGTTCACCTGGGGAGCCCGGGGCGGCCAGAGGGGTGCTGCTGCCTCCAGGGCACTGAGTAGCTGCTGTGGAGGCCTCAGAGCTCTGCTCCCTCCCCCATTACAGCCAGCCAGGAGTAGGCCTGGGACTTGAGTGGGACCTGGGAACCAGATACACTGCCAGGAGGCCATGGCTGAAGAGAGCAGGGCCTGGGAGGCGCAGTAAAGCTGGGCCACGAGGAAGGGAGGGAAGCACGCTTCCTGGGAGGCCCTAGACCATGGGAAGAGGTGTTCAGGTCAGCAGTGATGTTTAGGGAGCGGTTTGGTGGCAGTGTATGGCACTTGGTCAGGAGCAAGTGTGCAGAGGGAATGGGGTGCCGAGGATAGACCCCCACTTGCTGTTCCAGCTCAGTCACACAGCACAAGGGTGGGTGCACTGGTGATTTGAAGATTCAGGCTGCAGGGTCGAGTGTTGGAAGAGTTGGCTTCTGCAAGGTAGAGGAGCAGGCCTGTGGGCCCAGGTGGCTGTGGAGTGACACACAGGAGGCATTGAAGGGTGTCAGCGCTTTTCTGCACCTCTTTTTTAGTCAGCTTCTGGAACCACAGGGCATCTGGCCCTGACCTAGAGCCAAAGCCAGTTCTCTAAGGCCAGGCATATATGGCCTTCCTGCCCAGTGGCTGGCGAGGGCTGATCTGCACAGGCAGTCCCCAGTGGCACACCTGTTACCAGCCCGATCAATCCTGCTCATGCTCGCTTTGGCAAGATCAAACGGGTTGTGTGCCAATGGCCACGTCTACACAACCAGGATGTCATGCTCTGCCTTCCCTAACCCAAGTGCCTGGGGAACCAGAAGCATTTTCATGGCCTTTGTCCTCTTTATGTTCTCTGGAACCAGAAATGTTGTGCCTATGGTTTGTCTCCTGTGCTGCCTTGGGAAAGGACACTCATTTTGTGTGTTTGGCTACTTGTGGTGGGGTGTTCCGACGCCATTTTCCAGGGGTCTGATGGTGACCAAGAGATCACAGGCCAAAACATGTTAAATAAGGCTTTGGCGGAAGGGGGCATGAGGGCTCATGGGCTGGGAGGCGCTGTGGGAGGGGCCTGAGGCTGGTTCTGAGCACAAGTATCTTGGGTGTGCTCGACACCTAGTGCTGCCTATCCCTGCTGCATACACACAGCAGCACGCGCACACACACAGCAGCACGCACACACACAGCAGCACGCACACACACAGCAGCACGCACACACGCAGCACGCACACACACAGCAGCACGCACACACGCAGCACGCAGACAGCAGCACGCACACACACACCAAATGGCCACGCCTACACAACCAGGATGCTGCTGCTCTGCCTTCCTAACTCCAAGTGCCTGGGAACCAGAAGCATTTTCATGGCCTTGTCCTCTTTATGCTCTCTCTGAACTAAATGTTGTGCTCTATGGTTTGTCTCCTGTGCTGCCTTGGGAAAGGACACTCATTTTGTGTGTTTGGCTACCAGGTGGGGTGTTCCGACGATTTTCCAGGGGTCTGATGGTGACCAAGAGATCACAGGCCAAAACATGTTAAATAAGGCTTTACGGGAAGGGGGCATGGAGGGCTCATGGGCCGGGAGGCGCTGTGAGGGCCTGAGGCTGGTTCTGAGCACACGATCTTGGGTGTGTTTACACCTAGTGCGCCTATCCCTGCTGCATACACACAGCAGCACGCGCACACACAGCAGCACGCACACAGCAGCACGCACACACACAGCAGCACGCACACACACAGCAGCACGCACACACAGCAGCACGCACACACGCAGCACGCAGACAGCAGCACGCACACACACAGCAGCACGCACACACACAGCAGCACGCACGCACACAGCGGCACGCACGCACACACGCAGCACGCACACACAGCAGCACGCACACACGCAGCACACACACACGCAGCACGCACACACAGCAGCACGCACACACACACGCAGCACGCACGCACACAGCAGCACGCACGCACACAGGAGCAGCTGACACGCAGCACGCACAGGCCACAGCAGCACGCACACACACAGCAGCACGACACACACACGCAGGCGTACACAGCAGCACGCACACACACACGCAGCACGTACACACACAGCAGCACGCACACACGCAGCACACACACACACAGCAGCACGCGCACACACGCAGCACACACAGCATGCACACACACACGCAGCACACACACACAGCATGCACACACCCACGCAGCACGCACACACAGCAGCACGCACACACGCAGCACGCACACACACAGCAGCACGCACACACACACGCAGCACGCACACACACGCAGCACGCACACACACAGCAGCACGCACACACACGCAGCACGCACACACACAGTGAGCGCACACACACGCAGCACACACACGCAGCACACACAGCAGCACGCACACACAGCACGACGCACAGCAGCACGCACAGCAGCACGACACACGCAGCACGCACACGCAGCACGCGCACACAGCAGCACGCACACACGCAGCACGCACACACGCAGCACGCACACACAGCAGCACGCACACACAGCAGCACGCACACACACGCAGCACGCACACACAGCAGCACGCACACACAGCAGCACGCACACACGCAGCACACAGCACGCATACACACAGCACGCACACACGCAGCAGGCACACACGCAGCACACACAGCAGCACGCACGCACACAGCAGCACGCACGTGACACACGCAGCATGCACGCACACAGCAGCACGCACACACACGCAGCACGCACACACAGCAGCACGATACACAGCAGCACACACACACACACAGCACGCACACAGCAGCACGCACACACACACGCAGCACGCACACACAGACAGGAGCAATTTACACGAGCACACACAGCAGCACGCACACACGCAGCACACACACATGCACACACACGCAGCACACACACACAGCACGCACACAGCAGCACACACACGCACACAGCAGCACGACGACGCAGCAGCACGCACGCACGCGCAGCACGCACACACACGCAGCACGCACACACAGCACGCACACACACGCAGCACGCACACACAGCAGCACGCACACAGCAGCACGCCGCATACACTTACACGACACACACGAAGCATGACACAGCAGCACGACACGCAGCACGCGCACACGCAGCACGCACGACACGCAGCACGACGACACAGCAGCACGCACACACAGCAGCACGCACGCACACGCAACACGCACACACGCAGCACGCATATTGACAGCCAGCACGCACGCACACAGCAGCACGACGACACAACACGCATACACACGCACGCACACACACAGCAGCACGCACACAGCAGCAGCACGCACGCACACGCAATATCGCACCGCACACGCAGCACGCACGCACACAGCAGCACGCACACACAGCAGCACGCACACACACGCAACACGCACACACGCAGCACGCACACACACAGCAGCACGCACACACACACAGCACGCACACACGCAGCACGCACACACACAGCAGCACGCACACACTGCAGCACGCACACAGCAGCACGCACACACGCAGCACGCACACACACGCAGCACGCACACACACGCAGCACGCACACACAGCAGCACGCACACAGCAGCATGCACACACACGCACCACGCGCACGTAGCGCGCAGCACGCACGCGCAGCACGCCTGCACAGACTCTTCTCAAGGAGGCTGCTATCTGAGAGTACACAGTGGGGATTGATCTAGCCCCTCTTGAGTAGAATAGAACCTGAATTGCTGCTTCGATGGGTACATTGGGAATGTCAGAGACTTGTACAGAATTATTTTAAATGCCATCACATTCATTTGACCAACTCTGAGGCTTTCTGCAAAATGCCACTGCTGCAGACAGGAGTTCAGTGTGGCCCTGACTCTTGGGGTCGGTTTCTGAAGGCAGAAAAATAGAGGAGCCCCCACACGTTTTACACTAGGAAGAGGGGGCTGGGGCCAGGGCACAAGGGGGCTTCGTGTGCTGCCGAGACTGCCTGCGGGTGGTGTGGTTAGGGCTGAGGGAGGGAAAACCCCAGCTCGTCGCAGACAGGGTGGAGGGCCTTTTTGACAAATGGTGGGGAGACATCCGGTGGCATCAGGACATGGGGAACGGGCCCATGTGTTGGGCCACAGAGGAGGGGGCAGCTGCTTCCTGCTCCTCTGTAAAGATGGCCCTCAAGGGCCAGGAGGCACTGAAAAAGCAGCTATTGCTTGCAGAGGCCGGTCACCAACACATCTCTCTCCTGCAGACCGGAAGCCTCCCCTCGCTGCTGCCTTAGGTGAGGCTGAGCCGCCGGGCCCTGTGGATGCCACTGACCTCCCCAAAGTCCAGATTCCTCCTCCGGCTCACCCGGCTCCTGTGCACCAGCCACCGCCGCTGCCACACCGGCCCCCGCCCCCGCCCCCCTCCAGCTACATGACTGGGATGTCCACCACCAGCTCCTACATGTCTGGAGAGGGCTACCAGAGCCTGCAGTCCATGATGAAGACCGAGGGACCCTCCTACGGCGCCCTGCCCCCCGCATACGGCCCACCTGCACACCTGCCCTACCACCCCCATGTCTACCCACCCAATCCGCCCCCGCCACCTGTGCCTCCTCCCCCAGCCTCCTTCCCCCCACCTGCCATCCCGCCCCCTACTCCTGGCTACCCCCCACCCCCACCCACCTACAACCCCAACTTCCCACCCCCACCCCCACGCCTGCCCCCTACCCACGCAGTCCCCCCTCATCCTCCTCCAGGCTTGGGCCTGCCTCCAGCCAGCTACCCACCTCCTGCCGTCCCCCCTGGAGGACAGCCCCCTGTGCCCCCGCCCATTCCCCCACCTGGCATGCCTCCAGTTGGGGGGCTGGGGCGGGCAGCCTGGATGAGATAACGTGAGCCTTTTTTTCCCCCTTTGTTTTTTTTAACAAGTTTTTCTAATCGACTTGCAGAGTAGTTGAAGTGGGTAAGCAGCAGGGTACCTTGTATAATGCGCGACAGTTGCAGTATGGGAAGAAGGGACCAGGCCCCTGGGATAAAATCAGGGTGGTCCTCACATCTAGAGGACGGGGACAGCCAGCTTTCAGAGTAGCCTCATCAACGCCCTTGCAGTCTGACTGTGTACACTTGGTTCAGCTAATGTCTGAGAGTCCTGCACTGGGTTACTTTATACTAGTGAAGATGTTAACCAGCCATATTGGCTCAATAAATAGCTTCGGTAAGGAGTTAATTTCCTTCTAGAAATCAGTGCCTACTTTTCCTGGAAACTCAATTTTAAATAGTCAAATTCCATCTGAAGTCAAGCTGTTGTCATTTTCATTCAATGACGTTCTCTCCCATGACACCCAGAAGGGTCAGAAGAACCACATTTTTGATTTACAGATGTTTGCATCCTTTGTATTAAAATTATTTTGAAGGGGTTGCCTCGTTGGATGGCTTTTTTTTTTCCTCCAAGGAGAAGGGGAGAAATGTACTTGGAAAGTAATGTATGTTTACATCTATTTGCAAATTCCTGTACATAGAGATATATTTTTTAAGTGTGAATGTAACAACATACTGTGAATTCCATCTTGGTTACAAATGAGACTCCTTCAGTCAGTTATCCAAATAAAAGCAGTTCTGAAACTATCCCTTTCTTTGTTAATGGGTGGAAGGTAGGGCTCCAGGCCTTCGCAGTCCCTGGGTGATAAAATGTGTAGAAGCCCTCCTTCCGGACCCTGGGTACCGGGAGAGGCCTGGCTGCAGTTCACAGGAGCCAGAGCCAACCCCACTGCCTCCCAGGGCGCTCTGGGTGGATCGGCATATTTGCCTGCCAAGCCAGCCTGCGCCCATCCTGTGCCTGCCTTGGTTTCCTTTGGAGGACCTGGTTGAGTTCCAGACCAGCTTGAAACTTTTAAGCCTTGCTGCGTAGAACACACACAGGAACACAGGCTTGGGTTTGAAACCCTTTCCACTTCTGGCCTGCCATGAGATGGAGGCAGCTGGAGGAGCAGCGGCCTCACCATCCACCTTGAGGGGCCAGAGCTGTGTCTGTGGAAGGGGCCCCGACTGAGCCCCCATCTGAGGTGTTTGAGGGGCCTTGGCCCTGTCTCTGCCTGCTGACCCTGCCACCCGTGACGGAAACAAGCACTGAGCACCCAGCCAGGAGGCTCACAAAGAGGCCTTTATTTATCTAGCTCAAAGTAGACACTATCACAATCTTGTTTGTTACTCCTTTTACTAAAATAGTTCAAATCAATGTTTTTACCACACTATCAAAAAGTTCTATTCTTGTCTCCCCACGTCAGAGTGGTTGAATAGAAGGTAGAAACAGGCCGGGAGTCCACAGGCTCCCAGCTCTAAACGGCGCCAGGGCAGGAAGGGGTGGCTCCGGGTCTCACTGTGGCACCTTCTACAGAAAATGAGACGTAGCTGCCAGGCCCGGGGACAGAAACCAGACGTTCCAGTCCATCTCCAAAAAGCAGCACGAATACTTTCCCCACAGTATGAAAAATACACACCTCTGCCGCTCTGCAGTCATGCATTTAGTTTTCTTTAAGAAAAAAAAAAATCAGTAGTATGTATCTTGTTTCCTCAAGTTTCAAGAAAAAAAAATGAAAGGTCACTTTTTTCTCTTTAAACACTGACATGTAGCTAGTAACTTGGATAGAAAGGTGCCACCCTACAAAGTGTGCTCAGCATGTTCTAAGGCCAGGATGGGCTTGGCCGCTGGGCTGGGGCTAGAAAGGAGACCTCCGTCTGTCACAGTGGAAACGGAAGCCGAGTGCCAGTGCCGTGTCCGGCTTCAAGATCAAGCATCAGAGCCTTCGAAATGGAAAGGGGGCCTCTGAAAGGGCACCCCCACTGGGGGCTTTCAGAGCTAAGGCTCCAGAAGGAAGGGGTTGCCCTCCCTGCTAGTGACAGAGCCGGGAGTCACCGTGAGCTGCAGCGCCCCGAGGGTTCCCCTGTGGGAAGGCCCATCTGACCCTCTACAGCCCACGGCTCTGCAACTGCCACCTGTATTCAGGTACGTGGCGTCGCTGCTGCTGGCTTTTAAAATCAGCTATTAGTTTGAGATGTGACTGTCACCAACAGAGTTCTGTCCTAGAAAGCCATCCCAGTGCCGTGTTGGCTCAGGGGGCACTAGCTTTGTGCTGCCTCTGTAACAGGCAGGAGGGTTCTCAAAGCAACATTCCACTGATCCTGGATGCCACTGCAGCATTAAAGACAGGGTCAGTCCCCGTGAGGGGAAAGGTGGCTTCAAGGCTGTTCTCTGGGCCTGTTTGTAGGAGATCCGCAGGTACCAGGAGCCCGTACTTATTGCTTATTTCAGTGGTGGCCAAGCCAACCTGACCCAAACATGATGCACACGGGCTCCCAGACTTGGCTCCCACTCAAAACTGACCCACACCCCTTGGGCTACTCTGCGGTTCTTTGGACTCCAAGACCCAGAAGGGCGTCTGCCCAGCTGCCCACTCGGGCAAGAATCACTGGGTACCATGAGCAGCAGGTGTTCACCCCACTTCCCGTGTACACCGCTAGTGGCCGGGGAGCGTACCACCTGACCGGGTGACACTCCTTCCCAAAGAATCCAAAGAGCCTCCTGGCAACACCCACAGCAGGAGCGCCACACCGTCCCGTCACCAGCACCCACAGCAGGAGCGCCACACCGTCCCGTCACCAGCACCCACAGCAGGAGCGCCACACCGTCCCGTCACCAGCACCCACAGCAGGAGCGCCACACCGTCCCGTCACCAGCACCCACAGCAGGAGCGCCACACCATCCCGTCACCAGCACCCACAGCAGGAGCGCCACACCATCCCGTCACCAGCACCCACTTACAGCCCTGGGGCTAAGATGGGGGTGTGAGCCTTTCCCCTGAGAGCAAACAGGCAGCGAGAACTGCTCAGGATAGAGCCGCCAGCTCGGGAGAGGGGCAGGGCAGCCACCTCCCTCCTCCTGCCTGCATCCCCAGCCGTGGGCCTGTGTGAGACCTGCTGGGTAGGATGACAGCCTCCCTGGGCTCTTCGGGTGGGGTTCTGAGCACCTGCTGGAAGACCACAGGAGTCTAATGAGGACCTGATGAGGTCCTGGACTCAAGAGCCAGGGCTGCTTACAGCGGCACGAGCTGACGTGGGGAAGCGCCTCTCCCCACACTGCGGCTCTGGGATCTCCCGTCATGTGCCACACATCACTTACCCCCTCTAGGCCTTATTTTCCTCACACACAACATTTTCTGTTGCACTTTACAGTTTATACATGGTCATTTACACGTAAGATCTCACTTGATCCCAGAATCCTGTGAGGAGGGCCTTCTGCTGCCGATTTTACAACGGAGAACACAGGCTCAGAGTGGGGAGGCAACTGTCCACCCACAGCGATGGCAAGGCAGCGGGACTCAGCTCTGCCCGGCCACCCTCTGGCCTCTCCAGCAGGTCAGCTGTGGGCTGTCGGCTCACACCCCCCAGTGAGGACCCCTGCCCTGTGTGTGCCGGATGACCTGAGGCCATAAGCATGGCTGAAAGGAACCTCAGAGCCCTGTTTCCACCAAGATCCCAGAGAGGCTGAGTGAACTGCTAAAGGTCACACCACACACTAAAGGCAGAACCTGACCAGACCCCCTCCTTCCCAAAAAGAACAGGTCTCATCTGCAGCCCGGACAGCTCTGTCCACAGGGACCCGAGATGCAGCCAGGCCCTGGGGGAGGTCACAGCCAACCAGAGCCCCAGCTGTGGCCCAGTGCTGCCCATCAGGAAAATCACATATGGCTCAGCCCAGAAACTCTCCCCAGGCCCTTCCTATGTTACTGGCCTGTCATGTAAACCACAAATAGGGACGTGCCCCAGGCATGGGGCAGGAGGCGCCCAAAAAGGGCATAGCCTGGACAGGGCGGCGGGGGGACACTGCAGAGACTGTGGGGGAGGGGGATGACCTCCAAAAGCAAGGAGCAGCAGGCATTGGGTGGCTGGGTGCGGATCCCCAGGTGTGAGGGCACCCTGAGCTCCAGATATGGGGTCACAGGAAGGGCCCAGGGCAGCCTCCAGCCAGCCACAGACATGGTGAGCGGCCTTGTCCACGTGCCGGGGACCCAGGGCTTGGTGGGCCAGGCCACGGCACGTGGGCGAGAAGTGGTACCACCTGTGTCAAGACCCAGGTAGCAGTGCTGTCCGTCCAGTGTGGGTGGCAGCCGGGGAGTAGAGGGTTTGATGAGTGGCCCCTCCATCCCAGGCGGGACACAGGAGCCTGGACAGTCCCCAGGCTGGATCTCAGAAGCAGCCTCCTGCTCATGGGGCTCAGGGCTTGGGGCCCAGAGAGGGAACGAGGCGTCCAGGCCGCTCTGCTGCAGGAATGGCCACGGCGTCTCCTTCCCAGGTTGCTGGTGTGTGAGGCGGGAGATGGCGGCTTGGGCCAGTGCATCGGACCCATGGCAGCTGGGCCAGGGCGGGCAGCGTCCTATGTACAGTTCACCACAGAGAAAGAAGACAAGGGCTGGACTGGAGGTCCTGCCCGTGTCTGGGGCCTGAAACTCCCCCTGGGGACTCCCAGCAGGGCCAGTCCACGTCCACAGAAGAGTGGCCCTACAAAGGCCCCTTGAACTGGTTCCCAGACAGGTGCTGCCGTATGGAGGGCTTGGAGCTGGCTGCATCTCCCAGCTTTCTCCAGACCACCTGTGGAGAGGAGAGAGCCGTGAGTGGTGGCCTCACCTGCGTCCACCTGCCAGCTGTGTGCGTCCGCCGCCTCATCACGGCAGAATCACCCACGTCCTCAGAGCCATGGGGCCAGGAGGGACGCGGAGGCCACTGCAGGCCCAGAGACACCGACACCAGGTCTTTGCATGCCCGCTATCAAGCCTTAGCAGGTCATCGCTGGGGTGTGGCTCAGCCTTGCGGCTGTCCAGTGGGGTCCATGAGCCCCACTAGGTGATATGGGGGAGGGGCTGCACAGTTCAGAGCCCCTCGCCCCCCTTTAAGCCCTGGGTTCAGACCCTATGAAACTCCTTCCCCGATGGCTCCTGCAAGCACCCAAGGAGACCACTGATGGTGCTCAGCTGGGTCGGGCACGGGGCTCTCCTGGGCAGCCCCAGCCTGGCAGACTGAGGGCTTCCACCTGGACCTCCTGCTCTGAGCACCACCTGCCCAGCCAGCAGCCACGGGGGGCACCAGCAAGCTGGGAGGCCCAGGGGCCAGCACCCAGGGAACACCTGGGGTGAACAAACCAACCCCAGGGGGTGGGGGGCTCAGGCTCTGTCCAGAGCCCCTCATGGGGAGGGCAGATCTGCAGACACCACGGGCCCTCTGGGAAGGGCAGGGGGCAGTGAGGTGATGACCAGCTGGGGCTCTCAGTGCCTCCGAGGCCTCCCCTCAGCCATCCAAGGCCACTCAGCCCTCGCTGAGCATTCGAGAAATGGAGTCCCACATGGGGAAGGGTGTGGCCATGCTGGGTGGCCCTGGTCGCACTCCCAGTGCCAAGCCTCTGCCCCCCACTCCTGGAAGCCTCACGTTGCACATCTCGCGAACGATGGCCTTCTCCTTCTCACTCAGGTCCTCCTCGCAGCTGTCCTGGAGCTGCCGGTCCAGATTCTCATGTACCTCCAGGACCTGAAGGGAACAGGTCTTGGAGTCAGGGGCAGAGGCCACCGGCAGACCTCGGGCAAGTCACCTGGCCCCTGGGCCTCAGCCTCCCCTGCTGCACACCAAAGCTGAGGACCCTGAGCTGCTGGGCCCCTGGTGACAAGCGTGGAAAAAACTGAGGGGTAGGTCATCTTCTCACCCTGCCGACACTGTGGATGCCCTACAAGGGAAGCCCCTACAAGGGAAGCAGCTGATGGCTGGGCCATCTGGGAGGAAGTAGACAGGCTGGGCAGGGAAGACCCTCAGCTGGACTCACTACAACCCAGGGCCCGCTGGAGATGAGTGGGCACTCGTCACGTGGAGGGGGTGTGAGTAGGCATGGGCATGTCCGTGCACGCACGTGGGATGTCATGGGGCACATACGTAGGAGGAAGCGGGGCACGGGAGTGGGGACTGTGCTCAGGTGTGCACAGCCTAGAGAAACCAGAGCCCATCGGACTCACCCGTCGGCACCTGCAGAGGCTGGGCCTGGCAGACCTGAGGTTATTTCTAGCCCCACTCCTGCCCCTATCATTCTGGCCTTAGTAGGGTGACTGCCCTCCCCGACCCCAGGCCTCAGTCTTGCTAGCTGCAGTGGCTCAAGGATGGCAGACAGGTGACACACTTACGACTGCCACCTCTGAGCTCTGCCTTCACGGTGCTCCAGGCAGCCATGGTCACCCAGCCACCCACACACAGATGAAACCCCCCACCCCTGCCACTTGGATGCCCCCGGGTGCAAAGGTCCCACAGTCACGCGGCGCACCCAGCATCCGGGGGCTCCTGAGGGAGGGGGTAGTGGCCCTTACCTTCATGGCGTGCACGACAGCCTCAGGCTTCTGTCCTGCAGGGCTGTAGCCAGCAGAGGGGGGCGAGGGCAGCTCAGGTGCGGGGCAGGCCAGGCCCTGGGGGAGGCAATCATACATCTCAGCTCACCCGGGCTGGCTCCCACATGGCCACAGGAATGACCGGTGGCTCAGAGAAGTCCCCGATTCTGAGGGGCCAGGGCCCAGGCAGGAGGAAAAGGGGACCAGGGTGAGGCAGAGGAGGCAGGTGTGAGGACGGAGACCCAAGGAGCCCGCAGCCCCATCTGGCCGGTCCGCCCGTCAGGTCTTCTGCAGATGAAATGGTCCTTGATAGCACAGAGGCGAGAGGGGCGGTCCAGGGCCCACCCATACCTCTCAGGCTCCCCTCCCACCCCGCACAGATAAGACCTAGCGTCTGTTCTGCAGGGAAAAGAAGTTCAGCCCAGGCAAGGCAAAAGACCCAGATCGCAGCAAGACCAGGAAGGTCTGGACTCCACCCTGGCACCTGACGCCAAACTCCCTTCCCCTGCCCACCCTGGAGCCTGGTTGGACGACGCTGGCTTCGCCCTGAGCACTCCTGGGGCCTGCCTCCCAGCTGCTGCCTCCCAGCTGCTGCCTCCCAGCCCTGTGGGATGAATTGGCCGCCAGGTGCCCAGCTCCCACATCAGGCCTTGGGGAGGGGACCCAGCCTCTGTCAGAAGCTGCGTGTCTACCCAGGGGCAGGTGGTCCCACCCCCAGCTTCCTGCCTCTAACGGTCCATGTGGCTGGGAAGCCAGGCGCAGGGCTTCTTCTCAGGCTGCAGTGGGGACCACGGGGGCCCAACAGGAACCAGGAGTTCACAAGATGCTGGGAGAGCTTGGGAGGAACTTACAGGTGCCCAAAGCCAGACAGAAAACACACAGTGGTGCCCTGTGGGCCCTGGAAGCCCTGGGGTTTTGAGGACGTCTTCGGGGCTCCCCACTCTGGCAATCCTTGGACCAACCCTGAAAGCTGAGTCTGCTGCCCTCTCTGTAAATGGGGCTTTGATGATGCCTCCCAATGGCCTGGCAGGCTCAGGGAGCTGGGCTGGAATCCCACCCACCCAGGCCCGCATCATGGGGCCACCTAACACTGCAGGGCTGGGCTCTGCGACCCTCAGGGCCCGGAAGCCCCTGCAGGCCTGGCAGCCAAACCCTGGTGCCCTCCCCGCCCGCCCCGGCCTGTACCTGCTCCCAGGGCCTTGCAGGTTGACCGGCTCCTGCCTCCACACGGAGACCAGGCCCCACCCCTGAAGCTAGGGGGCCTTGGGAGCAGCTACCTCCAGAGGCCCCCCGAGCCCTGGGGTCTAGGAAAGTGTCATTGAGGTGGGGCCCAACCCACGCTGAGCCTGTTTCCTCGTCTGGACAACAGAAAGGGTCCTCTGCCCAGGGTGTGTGCAGACCTCTAACTCCAGCCCAGGCTATCGGATCTCTGTAGTGTAGGGAACCCAACAGGGATGCTGGGATTCCCCCTGGGGCAGCGCAAGGGGGCGCCCCAACCTGACTCAGAAGGCGGCACTCACCACGCCGGACAGCAGGGGGCGCCAGTCACACACGCACGGCCCCGGGAGACCTGGGCACCTACACCTTCCTGCACCTTCCGCTGCAGAACAGAGTCCATGTGCCAGCTGGCCCCTGGCACCTCTGGCCTCATGTCCCCATCTGCACGAAGCCCCTGGGCTGCCTGTCCTGTTACAGCCCCCAGCTCCAGGGGACCAGGATTTCTGCAGCACAGGCAGGAGGGAAGCCAGGAGCATGGGGGTGGGCTGTGCAAGCCGCCCCTCTCCTGCCCACCTCACTGGGCAGTGGTGGGTGCCAGTGAGGGTGTGGCCTGGGATCCTGAAAGTGACACCAGAACCAGACAAAATCCTAGTGTTGCCTCCAGGGCATTCCCGGGGTGCAGGGGCCCCCAACTGCACTAGAACTCAACCCCCTCTGGCCACACACACCTCCCACTGATTAGGTACCCACTTAGGGCGGATGGGCCCACTGAGTCCTTGCCACACTGCTCCTGGCAGGCACTATCTTTTTACATGTCCATGCAGGCCCCCCCCCCCTTTTTTTTTTTGTTTTTGTTTTTGAGGCAGGATCTCACTCTTTTGCCCAGGCTAAAGTACAGTGGCACCATCTCAGCTCACTGCAGCCTCGACCTCCCAGGCTCAAGCAATCCTCCCATCCCAGCTTCCAGAGTAGTTGGGGCTACAGGTGCACACCACTATGCCCAGCTTTTTTTTTTTTTTTTTTTTTTTTGGGTACAGACAGGGTTTCATCATGTTGCCCAGGCTGGTCTTGAACTCCTGGACTCAAGCAATCCTCCTGTCTTGGTCTCCCAAAGTGATGGGATTATAGGCGTGAGCCACTGAGCCTGGCCTACATGCCTACTTTACAGACAAGGAGAGTGAGGCTAACAGAATGGCTTGCCCAAGACCAAACAGCTTGTAAACAATGGGACTGGGCCTTGATCTCAAGTCTGTGGGACTCCTGAGCTGGTGCCCAAAGTGAGGATACCAGTGTGCACCAGAGAGAACTGAAAATAGACATCCACAAAATACCTGTCGCCAAACGCTCAGAGCAACACCATTCATGTGAGCCCAAACGTGCAAACGATCCAAATGTGCAGCAACAAATGAAGGAACCATGTGTTCTACCCACACCACAGAATCGTATTCAGCCATGAAAAGCAATGGAGACCAACACAGGGTACCTGTGGTTGGACCCTGAGAACAAGATTCGGAGTGAAAGAAGCCAGACACAAAAGGCCACACATCATGTGATTCCATTTATACGAAATATCCAGAATAGGCAAATCCATGGAGACAGAAAACACCAACCAATCGGTGGTTGCCGGTGGCTGGGAGGAAGGGGGATGGGAGTGATGGCTGATGGGTACTGGGTGCCTTTCTGGGGTGATGAAAATGTTCTATTGTGATGATGGCGTAACTCTGTGAGTGTGCTCCCTCAGGAGGCTGATGGTATAAACCGCCTCCCACCCTCCACTGGGGGCCAGCCCTGGGCACCTGCCCTGACAGCCAGTGGGTGGAGGGTACAGGCAGCAGAGGGCAGAGAGGGGGTGCCCACCCCAGAGAGTTACCTGCTTTACCCAAGGACTCTCCAGCATGCCCTCGCTGTGCCCATGACCCACAGGTAGCCTTAAAGGAGACTTGCCTGGGTCTGGAAGGGCCTGTGTCCCAGGCAGTGTCTGAGCCCGGAGACAGCCGTCCCCAGATAACCCCGTCTCTCCCCGGGGGTCCAAGTGCCGGACATGGGCTCTCCAGGACCCAGCAAGGGCCCACTGCCCTGTGAAAACTTCACAAGGCCTAGCCCCTGGGCCTCTGGCCCTGGCCCCTCCGCAGCAGCCACTTCTCCAGGCTTCATGGTGGCCCCTCCCACGAGACACCTTGACCCCTCAACACCCACTCTTGGGGGCCTGCCCACCAACCAGCCCAGATCCTGCCCCCTGCACCTCAGTTTATCACCTGGCCTCCTGGCTTCATGGAGGAACAACCCCATGCACAGCCCCCACGCTGGCCCCTGACCTCTAGGCACACACAGGCACCAGTACGCACTCACCACGGGGCCCTGGCCATCCTTCCCACCCCTATGAGCCTCACGTCCTCCTCTCCAAAGTAGGGGACACCCCCTGGTGCACAGGGCAGTCTAGAGGGAAAAAGGAGGCAAGGAGAACGAAACCCCTCCCAAGGTTGCCTCCTCCAGGAAGCCTTCCTGAACATTCCCCAACTCTGACAGCATTTTATCCACACTGTCAGACCTTGATGTTCAACCCATGCCCGGGGTGTGCTCTCCAGAGGCCTGCAGGGAGACAATGTCTGGAGGGCCTGGTGAATGTGAGAGCTGTGCTTGCACAGCACTTCCCAAACTGCAGGCCACTCGAAGGACTTCAGGACACAGCACTGAGCAACTGCTAGCTGCTATTACTCCCTCCCATGATCTGAATGGATGAGAGGCACGGGGCATGAAGGCTAAGGAGCCAGCCCCAAGGGGGCATCCCTTGGCTTTTCAGAGCCCTCCAACAAGAAACAGTTAGAGCCTTGTTCAGCCAAGGGACTCCTGGATAAATGCTTGGAATATCGGCCATCGGCGGGCTTTGCTGCCTGCACAGGCTCTACAGCTGCATTCCTGGAGAAGGTGGAAGGGCCGCAAAAGAGAAATCGCAGAGCCAGCAGCCAGCACTGAGGCCCAGCAAGCTCTGCGGGGGGTCCTGGGGTCAGCCTTGTGGGCGAGGGGTGAAGGGGAGAGCAGGAAGGGGCACAGCTGCTATGAGTGCACCCGCTGCCCAAGAAGCATCTCCATACATGGCTCTGCAGTTGCCGCAACGAGAACAGCCAGTGCTTCCTAAGCATCAGCTACGCACCCGCCAGGGCTCCCCCAGGTGTTACGCCCCACAACAAGGCGAGGCTGCCAATGCTAGGAGGGCAAGTGGGCCTGGACTCCTGTGGCTCCCCACTGCCATCCCATCCATCTACAGGGCACATCCTGAGCTAGGGTCCACTTCCCGGGAGCCGGCTCCAAGTCACCCGCCCCATTCCCTCCAGGCCAGGCCAGCCAGGTAGGGGCAGAGGATACCCTTGGAGGCATCCGGTTGGTCATTTCAGTGCAGAATCCACACACCTGAGCCCCACGCTCCAGGGCTGGCTGGGTACCCTCTCCCCACTGTGGCCAAGGAGTGGCGCAGGCTAATGAGCTGCTCAGAGGGACAGCGACTGGGCACAGGCAGCCCTGCACATGTGCCTCTGGACACTGCCCTGCACCTCCAGCAGCGTCACCCCACCTGGGGTCCGCCTCTAACTGCCACACTGGATGGGACACAGGGACACAGGGCCTAGGGCTGGGGCTGAACTCGGACACCCAGATCCTTGTGCCCCCCGGGCAGGTCACTGGCCCGCCTGAGCCTCAGCCCCTCATCCAGAACATGTGGGCTTCTTTGGGGCACACACTCACGTTCTGCAGGGAGTCCTGGTAGGAGGGCGGCAGGGACGCAAGCTGCGACTCTGAATGGTAGGGCGAGAAGCCTTTCCGTAGCGCACGGAACTCTCCAGAGCCTGCCTGCTGCAGGGGAGAAAGAGAGAGGGGTTAGACGGAGGGTCAGGCTGAGGAGGGCAAGGGCCCTGGGCGTGGTTCCTCACAGCAGCAGGGTCTGCTCAAAGGCACGGCCTCAGAGGACCCCTCCACCTTCCCCTCCACACCCCTTATCCATCCCCCAAGCTGGGATCAATCGATCTTCACTCTCCCCAACTCAGACGTCAGCGATCCACTCTCCAATGCGGGCTTCGTAAACATTTGCTGGATGGCTGAACAAACTGAATGAATGAATGAAGGAGAGCCAGCGAGAGAGAGGGAGGAGGGAGCGTCTCTCCCACCCCGAAACTCACCCTGGCCCCTCCGCTCCAACATCCTGCCCTTGGGTCCCTGCACAGACGGCACCCAGAGGGCCTGGGACAGCCATTGGCAGCACACGGGGCCACATCCACAGGCAAGGCCTCCCACCTCCCACGGGCTCAGGACTCTAGGGATGCTCTGCCCGGGCTGCCTCCGCCATCGGATGGACAGGGAACTCCTAAAGCAGGTCCTGGATGCTGCCTCTAAATCCCTGAGAACTCGTGTAAGGGGTCGTAACTAATGCCCTGTGCACAGGAGGGAGGGAGGAAGGCACGCTTGGCCTTAGGCCCTTTTGCTTAAGAGCAAAGCAAACACCCCCAGAAGTTGGGGCCGGGGGCTGGGACCAGGAGCCAGAATGAATCCACGGGTCCCCTAAATGTCTCAGTGTGTGAAGGTCAGTCCCACAGTGACGCTCCCGTGGCCCAGCCCAGCAGAAGGCACGGGCCTTTCTTTCTGCATCACTAAGGGGTTTTGGGTGTTTCTGGCCCAAACACCCTTTTCTACTTCAAAGGAACTGAGAGAAAGCGGCTGGGCAGATAAGACACTGCGGAATGTGCCATAAATCAGCAGGCTGTTGAGTCAACCCAAACAAACTGCAGAGGAGAAGAGACAGAGGAGGCCCGGGCTGGGGCTGGGCTGGGGCTGGGCTGGGGCGGGGGCAAAGAGGGCAGGACAGGCCGCAGCCATGTCTGGGGTCCCAGTTCCATGCACCAGCCCCTCGGCCTGGCTGTGAAAGATCCCCCACACACCCTGCTTGCCTCCCTCAAAAGCTGGACCTGGCTCCGCACTTCTCACAAGCCCCAGCCTCACTGAGGCCCAGCTCTGTGTTCTCCCAACCCCTTCAGAGCCCTGACCAGGCCCCCCACCGGGGCTGGGAGGTCTCAAGAGCATGGCTCAAGGGCCAGCAAACAGCCGTGTCCTGCAAGGCGGGTGAGGAGGGGAGTGGAGGCTTTACTACCAGCTCCCACGGAGGCCCGCGTAACCATGACCAGAAAGCAGGGATCCGGGCAGTGGCTCCCCTCATTAAGTAGCCCACACCCACCAGACGCTGGTCAGCCAGGGCAGCCGGGCGCTGGAGGCTGGGAGCTGCTTCCTGGGCCTCGGGAGGACCTGGGTGTGGCCGAAGGTTGGGGAGGGGCATAAAGGAGAGAGAGAAGTGGGAACCAACCTTCCTGCAGGGCCCCCAAAGTGTGGTGGGTTTTAGATAACCCTGGTGAGCATCGCAAATGGGTCTCAGCACGGGGACCTTGGGTACAGCCCTGAACCATCAAATGGGACTGCCGTGTCCGACCACAGCATTAACCCTGGCTGACCCTGCCCAGGTTAACCAGAGGCACTCCCAGCCCCCAGCTGGGGGTCAGATCAAGGAAAGCCCCCACCCACCCACCCACCAGGTACCAAAAAGAGGAAGAGGCTACAGCCCCCACCCCTAGGCCCAGCACTCACCCTCCCCCACCCATGAGTGACACCCCTCCTCCCACCCTATCGGAGCCACCCATGCCTCCCTGGGTCACCTCTCCTGAGAGATGTACCCCTAGCTCCACTTAAGGGGAAAATTCCAAACCACCTGATTTTCTTGGCCAGGACTCTACAACAGTAAGAGAGTTACAAAATCTTCCCCAATGGAGAATGCATTCTAAGCCAGCACACACTCTGAATGCAAGCGCACACACACACACAGTCTGACTACTGGGCCACACAGCCAAGAAGGGTACACCTGGGATTGGAACCGCTACCCTCCCCTCCAGCCGGCCCTGCCCTGCCCAGCTTGTTTTCACTCGGGCGTCCCTTCCTCCCCATCCTCTCTGGCCCTCGACCAAATGGGCTCCCACGTGCTGTTACTGAAAACTCAGTTTGTGCTGCCGTCCCCTCCCCTCCCCCAGATAATTTCCCTAGGAGGAGGTGTGTGTGCATGAGCTTGAGGGAGGTTTTTAATTAGCTGCACGCAATTCCCACCCTTGCCTTCGGTGAGCCTCTATAAACATTTGCATGTCCATAGAACTTTATTAGCAAGCCACAAAGCCAGGCAGGAAAAACGCACAATCTCTCATTAAGGGGCAATGTGACTAATGACGCATCAAATGAGTAACCATTATTGCACTTAAATCCAAATTAAAAATCCTGCTATGAGACAGGTCGCTCCCTTTGCAGAATGAGATTCCCTAGGATTTCACCGAGGAGGGGAAACAGGAGCTGAAATCACCTGCTGGGCTTGGTCTGCACACAGAGAAGAGCTCGCAGCTAAGGAAGGTGCTGGCCCTTCCTGGGGGGTGGGGGGGTCCACTGCGCTCCCCAGAAACACCCGCCTGCCCAGTCTCCCTCAGGTGGCTCCCTCAGGACCCAGGGAGAAGGGATCTCACACACAGAGCTGCCAGCTCGGAGCCGAAACAAGATTTCCAGAATCCTTAACATGGTGGCCCCTTCCACTCTGGCCAGGCCCAGTGCACATCACCCACTTCTAGGGCTTCCAGAGGGCAGCACGAGGGTCCTGGACTAGGGAGGAAGAGACCCAGGAGATGGCAGGGCCCCTTTCCCACTGAGGACTGCAGTTCAGGATACCCCCAGCCTATATCCAGGGCCTTCACTGCAACCCTGCCCGACTTGGGGCCCAGTGGGGACTCGCTGGGTGAACTCCAGTTGTTCCCCGGCCCTCTCTGGGCCTCTGCAATGCAGCCACGCCTCCTCCCCAGCAGCGGCTCGGGGGGACTCCATCTTTCACCTTCCTGACTTCCTGGGAATTCCTGCCTGCAAAGCTGCAGGGGGCCTATGCGGGGCCACCCTAGGGTCACCCCTAGGGAGCATTGTCAGAGGGGGTGCTGAACAGAAGGAGGATGAGACCTGGAGCCCACCCACTCCAGCCTGCCCACCTGAGGCTGCCTGTTTGGGAAGGATGGGTGGGGTGGCTGCGGGTAGGAAGCCCCTTTCTGGGCTGTGCTCAGGGGAGCTGCTCTCACCCTGCTTCCTGCTCCCAAAGAGCTTTTGGGCCCTCAAATGTGCCTTCTGCTGCATCGCTTATGTGTCTAAGAGGCACAAACAGAGCACCTCCTGTGTGCCAGGCACAGTTCTGCGCCCCATCAGGGAGGCAACAGCTAAAGGGGAGTGAGGGCTGGGAGTGGGGGTAGAGGCAGGCGCTGAAGAGGGGGTGCCCTCTGTCCCGACCTGGCCAGCCTGCCCTGGTGACCACTTGGACCGCCAGCCTCAGGGCCCCAGGCTGATTCATACGGAACGCCCTGGGAAGGAGTCCCCTTAGAGGGCCACCTGGTGCAACTCTGGACCGGTGTCTTAGTGCTCGGTGCAGGGACGGGTGGGCGCCTGCAAGGTTCCTCCTTCCTCAGCACCCTCCAGGATGCCCGACAGATGAGCATGGGCCCTTGGCACCGTGTGGCACAGCACAGCTCGGCTCAGCTCGGCTGGACAGCCAGGTGTGGCCAGGGTCCAGGACCACAGTGGACAGCAATGCAGCCACGCCCCCTTCCCCCTCCCAAATTTAGGTCATGCCAATGACTGTGTCTGACTTAGGAGACACTGTGGGGCTCAGGGAGAGGACCCCAACACAGGCCTCCCCAGCCCAGACTCTCCTGAGTCAGGTGCCCTCCTGCTTCTGGCCTGTGGGGGCTCCAGGTGATCTGTCACAAGAGGCCAGTTTTACCCAGCTGAAGAGCTTGAAGGTGCCGTCTGCAGGGAGGGGCCTATGCCCACCCTCAGAGTAATGGGAACCTGGGCAGGAAAATGCCACAGGAGCCCAGGTCCCGTGCAGCTCCTGCAGGCGCTAACAACGCCTCTGCCCTGAGCTTGTGCTGAGATGGTCTCCAGATCCCCGTGGTCACTGTGCAGTCCCCAGGCTGGGACAGAGTCCAGGCTGGAGGACAGGAAGCTGGAGAGAGTTCCTTCCAGTTCACATTTCCCGCCAGTCGCACTCCCACAGATGAGCCATCATCCCAGGGGCTACGGAGGAGAGAGGTGAGACCCAGGGGGCAAGGCCAGAGCCCAGTGACCACCCCATCCCCAAGACCTGGCGACCTCCCTCCAGGAAGAGGAAGCACTGTGGGAGCTCCCAGGGTTGGTCAGTGATGCGTCATCAATGGTCTGGGTGCTGAATAATAAACCCAGGGCCGGAGCGGCCTGTCAGGCTGACGCCTCCACCCAGGAAGTGCTGGAAGACGGTGCACCCTCAGCTGGCTGGGCTGGGGGACCCACCTGGAAGCAGAGACTCCAATGCAAGACTTGGGGAGACCATTCCCCCACCAGGGGCCCCAGCAGCTCCAGGGGCAGCTGGGGCCACAGACTAGCCTGGACTCCACTGTCCTGCTCCAGACTAAAGCCCACCGAGATTCAGCTGTCATCCATCTCGGGGGATCCTCAGAGGGAGAGCACAGAGAAAGCGGGGAGGATGCAGAAAAGGGCAGGGGACAGGGCTATGCAGCACAGCGCAGTAGCCTCCGCAGAAGACAGGCCTCAACCTGACCCACGGGAACCACATCAGAGCTGTTCCCACGAGGGCAAGTGGGTTTGTGTCCACAAGTCAGTCAGTCATGCCTGTGGGCTGCTCTGGAAGGGGGTGTGAACTCGGCACTGTGTAATGACATTGTTAGTTCACCGTCTGTCTGCGTGGCTGGACAGGTGTGGTTCACCTCCCAGGCCAAGCCCAGGGCTGGCACACAGTTGGTCACTGGTTCTCAAATGGGGGTGGCTCTGCCCCTAGAGGACAACTCGCAGTGTCTACAGACACTTTTTAGTGTCGGCTTGGGCATGGGGTGGAAGACCCCCAGAGGGTAACGCAGGGCAGGTATTCTGGGGCGGGCATTCTCAGGACGGGGAGAAGGGGACAGAGAGGAGACCATGTGGAGGCCTGAGAGCCGGCAGGAGAGTGGCCGGTGCCTAAAGGGCCTGGCTCCACGGGTCTCGAGGCTGGGCACAGGTGGGAGCTCAGTTCACCCAGCAGTTCCCCAGTCCCAGGCCCTGTCCAGCAGGGATCTGGCTGCAGCCCAGGGCGCCTGGCATGGTGACTCATGCTGGCCCTCAGAACTGTGCAACCCACGCAGAGCCCTCAGCCCAGTACCCACCCAGCTCAGCAGCCCTGGAGACTTCCCTCAAGGACCTAGGCAGCTTCCCACAGCAGCCACAGCTGGGTGGGCATGTGGGCCCTGGCCTCGTCTCCACTAACTCACGTAGCCTTGCAAGCCTCTCCTCCCTCCACGCACTGCAGGTGTCTCGCTTCGAAGCGGGGATCAGCACCAGACCTGCCGCCCTCCAGAGGCGGGAGGATCCCAGGCACCTGGGCAAGGTGCATGACAAGGGGCTCGCACCATGGAGAGCCCTCAGGAGGCAGTCGCTGCATGACTCTTGCTATTATTTTGCAAAGCTGGAAGGGCAGATCCCAAGAAGACTCCAAAGGTAGGGCCAGTGCAGCCTGGGAAGGAAGTGCTCCCAGGAAAGAACGGGAGGGTGCTGGGGACTGGGGGACAGAGCACACAGCAGCGCACAGCACTCAAAGCAGCCTCCCGACCCCCACAAACAGCACTGCAAACACGCCCCCCACCAGGCAGCTCTACCTGAAGCCAGCTTCTCGGGCGGCCATAGGGGCGGGGCAGCTAGAAGGAAGGAGAACAGTGTCACCCAGTAAATGCCAACCATGCCCATCACTCTGCCCAGTGCCTTCCCTGGACACCTATCAGGCCAAAGCCACCAGGACCTCAGCTGAGCCGGAGTGGTTTTCCCACACCGAAGGCCAGGGCTGCGGCTCGCCAAGGCAACTCCAGGAGCTCCATGTCTTCAGAAACTCCAGATTCACAAGGACTCACTGAGTACCTGCCATGTGCCCGGCACTGGGTCCCTAGGAGCGCCCACCACCCCCCAGAGCCCACCCCAAAACTCACACCAGGGTGAAGCCACCCCAAGTGCCCTGCTACCCTCCCAGGGAAAAGCAACCGTTTGAGAGGCTCTGGGATGGGGTGCCCCAGCCTAGAGGCACCCCAAGATCCCAGTAGCTCAGAGAGGCCAGGTGGGGGATGCACACCCTATCTGGCCCCGTTCTAGCCTCAAGGCGAAGATGACCTGCAAGGTCGCGCACAAGAGCTACACAGTCATAACAACTGGATTTACCTTCTTTTTCTTCTTTCATTTGGAGAGAGCTCATTTGTAGGGGGAAACAATACACACTGGGGCGTGTTAGGGGGGCAGGGGGAGGGAAAGCACAGGAAGAATAGCTAATGCATGCTGGGCTTAATACCTAGGCCATGGGTTGATCTGTGCAGCACACCACCACGGCACACGTTTACTTATGTAACAAACCTGCATGTCCCGCACATGTACACCAGAACTTAAAATAAAAGTTGATAGGAAAAAAAGGAAAAAAGAACAAAGGGGCTGCCACTTTAGCTGGGGGTCCAGAGACATCTTCCCAATCTGCACTCAGATCAGGCGGTAGAGATGAAGGGTGCGGCCATGTGTGGCTGATGTCACTTACCCGTGGCTGGCACTGCTCTTCCCCTGGTCCCATGTCATTTCACACCCGAAATCCCATTTTTCAAACTCAGGTGTATGCACCATTCAGGGCCATTCGGCCTGGGACTGATGAGGTAACACGCAGACCAGGTCTTGTCTACCACGAGGACAATCCCTCCCTTCCCAGGTCCCTCTGCAGGCCCATTACTTGTTCCAGTGAGGTAAGTGAGGGACAGGCCTGTGGGAGGCTTTGAGGTGTGTAGTTTTTTTGTTTGTTTCTTTGTTTGTTCGAGATGGAGTCTCACTCTGTCACCCAGGCCGGAGTGCAGTGCTGCAATCTCTGCCTCCAGGTTTCAAGTAATTCTCCTGCCTCAGCCTCCCAAATAGCTGGGATTACAGGCGCCAGCCACTACGCTGGCTAATTTTTGTATTTTTTTAGTAGAGACGAGGTTTCACCATGCTTGCCAGGCTGGTCGCAAACTCGTGATCTCAGGTGATCTGCCTGCCTTGGCCTTCCAAAGCGCTGGGATTACAGGCGTGAGCCACTTCGTCCAGCTGAGGGGTGCAGATTTGCAAAACCTAAATCCTACCTTGGCTGAGTAAGCCAGAGCAGCTCCTCAACTTTCCGGGCCTCTGTTTGTCTGCACATAAACTGGCGTCAGGCGGAGGCTGGCAGAGGCTACGGCTGGCCCACAATGGACAGGAAAGATCACGGTGGTTAACCCGCCACCCTTACCACTGACCACCCGACTCCCAGTCCTTTCCACAATTTGCCTGTTCATTCTCTGAACAATGTATGTGTCAGACACCATTAGTGTCCCCATTTTGCAGAGGAGGAAACTGAGGTGCAGAGAGGTTAAGTGACCTGTCCAGTGCCACTCTGCTGGCAGGTGGCACCAGTGAGACTTGAACCAGGCCCTCTGGCACTGGCCCGTCAGCCCTGGTGACTCTCCCCCAGCATCTGGCTCACAACTCCTTACACTGCTGGTTCTAGGGCATGGAGGTGGAATTTCCCGTCTCCATTCTGCCCACGTTGCGAGACTGACCATCTGTTCATTGGCTGGAAGGCTGGAAACAGGGGGTTTCCTCTCTGGGCAATGTACAGGCTGGACTGATTCTGAGGTTCGACTAAGGAAGCGTTTAATGTCCTCCAGAGACCCAGAGACTATACTGCCTATAACAGAGGTGACAGGGGCAAGGCGGCCAACCCAAGACACCAAACACGCAGAGCAGGGAAGGGCTCGGAGCCTGCTACCAAGGCATGGACATGCTGACCAACAGATAAGCCCGCGTGGACCACCGCGAGGCCAGCATCTCCGGAGGAACCCAGGCTCTGGACAGCCCATCCTCCTTGGGACACAGAACTGAAGCGCTGGCCATGGGTTGAGACAGTAGCAGATTGATCCCCTCGCCCCCCGCCTGGATGGGCTCAGAACTCAAAGGACAAAGAGCAACGGTTCCCTCGGGGACGGGCCAGGCCCAAGGGGCAGCAGAGGGCACATGGTCAACCGGACCTCGAAAGATCCCAGGCCCTTGGGACCTCCCGGGGTGCTTCCCAGGGGCCACGTCACGCTGTGCTGGGCATTCACCATCACCCCTGTCTCCCAGGTGAGGACACTGAGGCTCTGGGAGAGAGAGGATTTCACCTGAAGCCACACAGCAGGTGAGCACTGGGGCGGGGGCTATTGGAGTTTACAGGGAGAAGAGCCTGTCTACAAGCCGGAGAGAGGTCTCAGAAGGAGCCAGCCCTGCTAATGCCTTGATCTCAGACTCCCAACCTCCAGGACTGTGAGGAAATACATTTCTGTGGTTTAAGTTCCCCAGTCTGTGCAACTCTGTTATGGCAGGCCTACCAGACGAATACAACATCCATGTCAGGAAATCACCTTCATCCAGACCTCAGTTTCCCCATCTGTGCCTGGTGTGAATTCTGGGTCTCTTTCAGCAGCCCTTTGGTACGTGGCAGGCCAGGGGAGAGGGGGGTACCGGGGGGCGGAGGGGGCGGGAGGAGGGGGCGCCGGGGGCCCTTCAGTCACCAGCCCAGACCCCAGCCTCGCTCCCCAAGCCGGCCCTCTGGTCTCGGGAGAGAGAATATTAGGAGAGCTCCTTGCTCTTTTGTAAAGCTGGCTTTTTTGGCGCACAACGGAGGCTTCATTTATCAGCCCAGCAGGGGAGTTAACGAGAGGCCCCAGCATCAATTACAGCCGCCCCCAGCCCAGCCCGGCTGGGCACAGAGAATCCACAGGAAAAATAATAACGCGCAGGAGTCTTGAGATGAATCATCGCGGAGGAAGCAGCTGTGTTGATGAAATTTTAAAGCCAACATGAGAAAGAAAATACGAACAGCAATACAGTAATTGAGTCTGTGAACATGCTGGCACATTTTTAATTAAAGCTATTTTGGAGTTAAATAGAGGCCATGGGTGGGGGGAGGTGGGACCGTGGGGAGTGGGAATCCGGGGAGGCTCCCTACCCTCCCACCCAAACCCCAAAGCCACGTCACCTTATGATATTCCAGAGAAGAGCATGCCTCTGCCCTGCTTTTCACCAACAGGAAGAGTCCCTGCTTTGCAAAGAGGTGGGGGTTTCTGTACAACTTGATTTCCCTGACAAGATTTAAATGCCAGAATCACAGAATCTCATGAGCCAGAGTCCGTGAGGCTTAGGACAGCATCTCATTCAAGGCTGCGATCTCTTTCTTCAAGATTCCCGGCCAGGCGCGGTGGCTCACGCCTGTAATCCCAGCACTTTGGGAGGTCAAGGCGGGCGAATCACGAGGTCAGGAGATCGAGACCATCCTGGCCAACATGGTGAAACCCCGTCTCTACTAAAAATACAAAAAATTAGCTGGGCATGATGGCGGGCACCTGTTGTCCCAGCTACCGGGAGGCTGAGCCAGGAGAATGGCGTGAACCCGGCAGGTGGAGCTTGCGGTGAGCCGAGCCAAGATTGCACCACTGCACTCCAGCCTGGGCGACAGAGCGAGACTCCGTCTCAAAAAAAAAAAAAAAAAAAAAGATTTCCAAACGTAGTCACCCAGCCATCTCTTGGTGACCTCCAAAGATGGTAACCTCACTACCTGCTGAAGCCCTCTCTTGGTTAAGTGGGCCTTCCTTATTCTGAGCAAGAAGAGCCTCCCCTCTTGGCCATGGAGACTGGACAGGGATCAGCCACAGGATCCCCAAGGCACATCCACCCAGTTCAACCATGCTGAGCACTGGAGACACAGATGTGGCCACTCAGGCCCTGTGGCCCTGTCCTGGAGAAGATAACAGTCCCACAGGGGTGGGGGCCAGGATCCACAAGGATAGGTCATGACACCCTATCAGCAACGGTGGGCAGCCCAGGGACTGAGAGAGCTCAGGGCAAGCACCAGGCCTCCTATGGGTAGTCAGGGAGGGCTGCAGACAGGAGGCCAGGAGAACAGAGACTAAGTAAACCCTATCTTCCTGGTGCCTCCCTGAGAACGGGGCCACCACTGTCCTGGCGGGCAGGGCCCTGCCACAAGCTCTCTTCACCTCCCCTATCCTCCAGGGGCCTCTCTGTGCATGTGGGTCCTGCAGGCTAGACAAGGTGGTGGCCAAGCAGGAACAAGGGTGAGACTGGCCTGCCAGCTCCCTGAGGGCAGGCCTCTGCCTGGCCAGCCCTGCATCCCCAGGGCCACGTACATAGTAGGTGGTCAGTTACACACTGAGTGAATGAGTGCCCACTTCTCAGTCGAGCAGAGACCTGGGAGAGAAAGTGAACTAAGGATCCCCATAAAGCTGGTGCCATTGAAGCTGCCCCAGGAATCCAAAGGCAGGCTTGAGACCCACTGCTGCCCCTCCCTCACACTGCCTCTCTGTCTCCCTCTCCTGCATGGCTCAGCACAGCAGTGCCCTCCTCCGTGGCCAGCAGGAACCCTGCCCATGATCCCAGCTCCTCTATTCCTCCTTTTTTCTTTTTTGAGGTGGAGTCTCACTGTTTCCCAGGCTGGAGTGCAATGGCGCAATCTCGGCTCACTGCAACCTCTGCCTCCCGGGTTCAAGCGATTCTCCTGCCTCAGCCTCCCAAGTAACTGGGATTACAGGCATGTGACACCATGCAAGGCTAATTTTTGTATTTTTAGTAGAGACGGGGTTTCACTGTGTTGCCCAGGCTGGTCTCAAATTTCTGACCTCAAGCGATCTGCCCACCTCAAGCTCCCAAAGTGCTGGCTTTACAGGTGTGAGCCACCACACCCAGCCGTGGCTGCCCTGGTTCTGCTGATGCCATGGGCTCTGGGGATGCCACCAGCTCCTGGAGCCTCGGTTATGAGGTTCAGGGGCCTCCACTGCAGCACAGGGACAGGGTGAGGAGACCATGCAAGCACCAGGGGCCAAGGCCCCAGCAGCATACATCTGCCCTCTTTCAGGGTGCTGGGTATGGCCCTGACACCACTTGCTGGGAGCCCCGGGGCAAGACCTTTGCCTGCTGCACAGTCCATGCTGAGAAAGCGCTAGGGATGGGCCCTGGGTGCCCTCCTGCCACACCACACAGAGATAGAAGCTCCTTCAGCCACCACTCCAGCAGCATGGCTTGGCCGGGCATCATTTGGGGAGAAAGCAAATTTCTGCTAAGGAAATGAAGCATTTTGCAAACTTTTCGCACTGATGATCCCTGAGTTCTGCACCCTGGTTGTATGTAACAACAAGCAGGCAACAGCAGGTTTCTGCCCCTAAATTCCAGTCCAACTGCCTGCAGCCAGCAAGTCTGCGTCCAGGCAAGTGCCAGTAGCTCCCCAGTCATCAGGATCTGATGTTGGTGCCCTGCAGGCCTGGCCCACAGATGAGGATGTGAACAGAGCCCTGCTGCTACCCCCAGGGAGCAGGTGGCAGCAGGCCTGGGGAGGGAGACAGCCCTGGGCAGAGCCAGCCACTCCATCCTTGTGGCTCAAGGCTGAAGCTCCCATCCACCTCCACCTGTGCACAAGTGGGTGCAGGGCAGGCGGACACAACTTATGGTGGAGGGCCCCCTGTGAGACCAGGAGCACCCCAGGAAGGAAGGCAGGAAGAAGGGCTGCTCCTCCACAGCCCACTTGGGTGCAGGTTTTCTGCAAGTGCATGGTCAGGAACTGGGGTGTATTTTTCCAGTGGGACACCGTGGCCTGCAGGGGCCAAGGGGTCAGGCACACTCCTGTCCTTGTGGAAACAGGACCATGAGCTGCTCTCTGGTTGGACTGCGGAACACACGTCTCATAGAAATAACACTGCAGGGCCGGGCGTAGTGGTTCACGCCTGTAATCCCAGCACTTTGGGAGGCCGAGGCGGGAGGATCACCTGAGGTCGGGAGTTCGAGACCAGCCTGACCAACATGGTGAAACCCCTGTCTCTACTAAAAATACAAAATTAGCTGGGCATGGTGGCGCATGCCTGTAATCCCAGCTACTCGGGAGGCTGAGGCAGGAGAATCACTTGAACCTGGGAGACAGAGGTTGCGATGAGCTGAGATCACACCATTGTACTCCAGCCTGAGCAACAAGAGCGAAATTCTGTCTCAAAAAAAAAAAAGAAAGACAGAAGAAAGAGAGAGAGAGAGAGAGAGAGAGAGAGAGAGAGAGAGACAGAAAGAAAGAAAGAAAGAAAGAAAGAAAGAAAGAAAGAAAGAAAGAAAGAAAGAAAGAGAGAAAGAAAGAACAAACACTGCAAACAGCATCCCAAATTCAGAGGTGGAGCTTCCAACCCACTTCTCCACAGGAACAACGAGACAAAGAAACTCCAGATCAGGGCAGACGCGTGAGGTCACTGACCCGGGGGCCCGAGCTTCAGCCACCAGAGCATGGTCCTGGCCCTCACTCTGCAGAGCAGTAGCCCCCTGCCACCACCCAGAGGCAGGACTTCCTCTCCTACACACTGCATGGGAACTTTCTCCAAAGCAAAGGTCCCTGAGCCACGACCTTCTCCTGGTGTCACTTCTGCCTGCAGCGCCCGCACACCCTCCTTAGCAACCACAACGGCCCCACCAGGCCTGCAATGGAAGGCTTGTGTCTAGGGAGCCCTCCTCCACAGACAAGTGCAACCCCAGCCCCTCCTGCCCTCACCAGCCCTGGAAGCCAGCCCGGCCTGTGGCCAAAGCCCTCCGCCACAGGGCACCTGACAGCAAGGCATGAAATTACAAAAGCCAGCCTTGCCATTCAGAGCTTGGCTATGCACTTGCATGTGTATGTTGGCAGGGGAGCTGGTGGGAGCGGGGTGGAGGAGAGTTCGCAAGAGGCCAAATGGGGAACATGTACCCTGCTAAGTCCCACCAGGCCCTGGGAACCTACCCCACGGCCCACACAGTGGGGGCCTGAGGGGATGACCTCAGTGGGAGCTATGCTCCCTGCAGGGCCCGTGAGCCTCCCAGCAGCTGCCCAGTGGGCAGAGAGGGTGCCATGGAATTCCTGAGCTGGGCACTGGGCACCAAGCCTGGCTGGTCACCTAGCAACGGGGCCAGGCAGCTGAGCCATCCCTGTGGTTGGTTCCCAGAGAAACGCTTTGGGTATCCCAGGCTGACCGCTCACGGCCCAGTGGGAAGAGCAGGAAGAGGGAGACTGGGATGAAGCCAGGGATGCGCACGAGGACTTGGACACTGGGGGAGTGAGCAGCTTGAGGGGCCGCCAAGCCAGCTCGCCCCCAACACCCAAGCGAGACTGCCCACGGCCTCCTCTCGGCAGCCCCCATGCCTGCCCCACCTGCAGCCGGGAAAGCCCTTGTCCTGGCAGTCACACGTCCCCTCCAAGCTCCAGCCACACTCAGGAGGCACAGCCCCTCATCCAACCCCACCCCTACCCCCTGCAGCCGACCCCTCCCACACTGTGCCCCTGCTGCCCAGCTCTGCACAGGGTAGCAGCCTCATCTGTCTGTGGGTGAGGCCGGGCCCAGGAGGGAGGAGGGGACCCCAGCCCAGGGAGGAAGCGTACAGTAAGTCCAGCATGGCAGAGGCGGGGAGGCTTCTATGTAAGTCTGCCCCATCTCCTGCCTGGATCTGCCCGTCTGCCAGAGGAGTGAAGCAGCCCATGTCTTCACCAACTGGGTGTTGTGCACCCTCTCAGGCCCTGGACCAGCCCCGAGGAGCTCGCATACCAGGCAGTCAGCACGGAGGGCTGGGCCGAGGGAAACCCAGAGGCGTGGGAGCCAGGGTTAGGTCCCTGGCCCCACTTTCCAGGAGGTGACGGGTGGCAGTGGGAGCAGGTCGGGGGAGGGCATGGGTCCCAAGGGGAAGGGTGCCCTGGGTGAGCTGGAGGGGTGGGCGCTGGGTCGCGGTCCTCAAGGCAGCACCACCCGCAGCCGGCCTACCTGTGCGAGGAGCTTGTCACCCTCCAGCAGCCTCACTTTGCTCTCCAGTTGCCTGATGTAGGTGGATGAGGGATCTGGAAGGACACAAGAGGAAGGGGGACATTAGCCTCCGGCAGACTCCGTCCCCAGTGCAACCACAATGGTCCCACGAGGCCTGCCATTGGAAGGCTTGCATCTAGGGAGCCCTGCTCCACAGACAGGTGAGACCCCAGCCCCTCCTGCCCTCACCAGCCCTGGGAAGCCAGCATGGCCTGTGGCCAAAGCCCTTCGCCACAGGGCACCTGACAGCAAGGCATGAAATTACAAAAGTCAACTGGCCCCAGGCCTGGCATGGAAGGTTTGGGTCTGAGGAGTCCCACCCCACAGCCAGGTGAGACCCCAGCACCCCCTGCCCTCATCCGCCCTCCGGAAACAGCATGGCCTGTGGCCAAAGCCTTCCCACCATAGAGCACCTGACACCAAGGCATGACACACAGAGGGAGCCTTGCAGGACCCACCCGCCACCCTCCCTGTGGGCCTCTGAGCTGTTGTCAGGACCTTCAGGACCTGTGGAAAGGTGAGGGGCGGGTGGCCTCGCCAGCCTGCGCTGGAGCAAGTCCTGCAGCTTCCAAGATGCTGCAGGCTCAAACGGAGCTCTCCTAAACACAGCCAGGTCGCAGCCCACCCCAGGGTCGGGGTCCGGGGAGCCCCCTCCCCTACACAGTGGGGAAACAGCCTCCTGAACTTGCCAAGTCAGCATCTGGGATCCTTCACCTGATCACCCAGGAACTTCTCACAGGAGATGCGTGCCTGCAGCATATGCTGCAGGTGAGCAGCCACCTTCCCCATACGACAGTCAGGAACCCCGTGGAAACCCCCGGTCACGTGTCCCCAGTTTCTGACCTCAGGCTAAGGGAGCCCAATCTGTGCAGACCACTGGTGCAGGATGAAATTCACCCACCCTCACCACTGACGCTGCTTTCCAGTCACGTCAGGAAAACACAAAAATATCCCATCCCCACCCCACACCCAACCATCCCACACCCCTGGTCCTGCCTCCCCCCAGGCTGGGAGTCAGCTCAGCCCCCAGGGTGCCCAGAGCAAACCCTCAGGGCAGAGGGCTGGGGGAAGGGAGGAGAGGCAGGAACGGGACGGAGGCAGAACACCGGCCGGGTCACCCGGCGACAGGAGGTTTGGAAGGAGGCAAGGGGGTGGCAAGGCTGTCCCAAGCACCCCTGTGGGCCACGAAGCCACCTGGTAAGGGATGGGCTATTAACACCTCTCCCCAGAGATCACCTAGCCCAGACAGATGCCAGCCCAGACGCCATCCACCCCGACGGCTGTCCACCCACCGGCCCACCCGACAGCAGGACGCAGGGTCTTCCCAGGTTCGTGCCGCTGACCCTCGATTGCAGAAGCAGAGACATCAGCCCCTTTGACCACACACAGCCAGCCGTCTAGTCCCCATCACCACCTCAGGGCTGGGGAAGGACTCCACAGGCTGTTAACATGCCTGGGGGTGCCGGGGCTTGGGTGCAGCTGGGGACAAGCCAGGACCGCCATGCCAACCACACGACCAATGAAGCATCTGTCCACCCCCAGCACGCCAATAACAGGACTCCTGGGAGCCCCCTACTCAGCCCCGGACCAGGCCCAGGGCCCAGCAGAGCCACTGGCCCAGCCACAGGCAGGAGCGGGTACTGGAGCCCCGCCCGGACACACTCACTGCTGGGGAAAAGTGCAAACCAGCCTCCCCTCCTCCTGCAGCCCAGTCACGTCCCAGGAATGTGGGGCCTTCTAGAGAGGAGAGAAGGGCGGCTCCCCATCCAGGCCCTGCCTCCCCACCCTGCCAGGCAGGCCACCCCTGCCCTCAGGATGACCTCAGGGCCTCACACCTCACCAGCCCTGATCCCTCCCTCCCTGGCCTCAGTTTACTCATCACTCTGTCAATCCTGAAAAGAGGCTCCCATGCCCACCCCAAGCAAAGAGGTGTGATGGCAAGAGGCCTCAGCATTCAGGCTGTGCTGCGTCCCTCTGAGCACGGGGAGATGGGGTGCAGCCTAGGCTCCCCAAACCTTCATGTCCAATACCCTACTAACAGGAGGGCTCCCTGGAACACAGTCCCGGGAAGCAGTGACCAAGTAAACTGCAGAGACCCTTCCAGCTCCCTCACTCTGACAGAGCTAGGACAAGAACGCTCCAATGACTACAGACCCACGTGTGGTCTCCTTCTGGGTGCAGTCGGGTGGGGGGAGCCCACTGTCCCCTATGGCACACATGGTGCCCCCTGCATCTGGTGCCTTGCAAAGGACAAGCAGCCACCATCCTCATTTTCCAGGTGCAGAGGCCACGAGGAACAAAGTGTTCCCACCAGCAGCAGGTGAGCCTTCCAGCCCCCCCCCTCCACCACCCAGGCCCACCCCTTTAGGACCCAGTGTTTCTGGCCGCCTTGGGCAGACAGACTTAGCCTTGGAAAGACGCTGGCAGAGACTCAGAAAGAAGACGCCATTCCCAGTCACACCGCTCTCCCGAAGGCTCTCTGCAGTGCAATCCTCGGCACAGCTGCAGGGCCCCTGCTCACCACAGCACCCCCATGGGACAGTGCTCCCGGGGGCAGCCCTGAGCCAGAGGGAGGACCCAGCCACTGTGTGTGACCAACAGCCCAAGACGGGCACTAACGTGTCCTCTGCCCTTCACTGCCACAGAACCATTCAGGAGGTGGGTGCACTTTCAGCCCGCCCGCCTCCCGAGTGGTTCCCACAGGGTGAGCAAGGAGCTAGCTCCCAGCACTTCCCTCTCAGTGAGCCCACAATCCGAGTCCGTCAGCCTCAGCACCCTCACTGGGTGCCCCTGCTCCGGTCTGAGCCGTCAGCCCCCTCAGATACAACTGGGGTTTCACACCCACCTCCCAGGAAGGGTTAAAGACAGTGATCAGGCTGGCAGGTGGCATCAGGAGAAGGGACGCAGACAGGCCATCCCACAGGTCACCAGCAACGCCCCACCTGCCCATAGCCAGCACCTCACCTCAGGGCTCACAGGCCACCATCCCCCACATTGGGCCACCTGTAGGCACAGACAGGTGGCCACACACCCATGGCCCCAGACCAAGGGGCTGCCCCTGACAAACCCATCTGTTCAGGCTTCCCCCAAACCCCAGGCAGCTATGCAGAACAACATACACTGCAGACCACCAGGCTTTGTTGGGTTTTTCTTTTAAATTTCAAAATAACAATAGAACAGTCTTAAAACAGATTTTAGACCATCCAGTAATTCCAATGGAATCTATCCTAAAGAATTAATTCCAGGCTGGGTGTGGTGGCTCATGCCTGTAATCCCAGCACTTTGGGAAGCCGAGGCAGGTGGATCACCTGAGGTCAGGAGTTCAAGACCAGCTTGACCAACATGGTGAAACCCCCATCTCTAATAAAAATATAAAATTGGCTGGGCATGACAGCAGGCGCCTGTAATCCCAGCTACTCAGGAGGCTGAGGCAGGAGAATCACTTGAACCCGGGAGGCAGAGGTTGCAGTGAGCTGAGATCGCACAACTGCACTCCAGCCTGGGTGACAGAGCGAGACTCCATCTCAAAAAAAAAATTAATTCTAATTATGAAGAAAGCAGACTGTTAGAGTGGCCAAAACTGGAAATAACTATTTGTCCAACAACAGCTGAGGGTTCTACCCTGTCATCATTACAATGATGTTTAGAAAGAGTTTCTCTCCTAAACAATATGGAAAAACACTTAAAATGCCAGTGGAAAGAACTGGACACAAAACGACATGCACAATGGCTGCAATGTTTAAAAATATCCACGCATTGACGTGACTTCAGGAAGGAAGTCCACAGAAATCCTGACTGTGCGGCTGCTCAGTTGAGGGAACCAGTGGGTTTTTATTTATTCACATCGTTTCTTGTTAATTTTCAAATAATCGACTTCTAATCTAGTTCTGAAATCCTTCTTTCAGAAAAAAAGAATGGCCAGGTGCGGTGGCTCATGCCTGTAATCCCAGCACTTTGGGAGGCCGAGGCGGGCAGATCACCTGAGGTCAGGAGTTCAAAACCAGCCTGGCCAACATGGTGAAACCCCGTCTCTACTAAAAATATAAAAATTATCTGAGAATGGTAGTGGGCACCTGTAATGTCAGCTACTCGGAGGTTGAAGCAGGAGAATTGCTTGAACCCAGGAAGCAGAGGTTGCAGTGAGCTGACTGCGCCACTGCACTCCAGATGGACGACAGAGCGAGACTCTGTCTTTTAAAAAAAAAAAAAAAAAAAAAAGGAGAACAGATTAAACTCTTGCACCTCCACATTACATGCATGGCCACCCACTGAAGCACCTGACATTTTAAACCCAGCACCCTGACCCTCTCCCACACTCAGCTCCCTGGAAGAGCTCTCCAGGCTGCCAGGAGCCAGTGAGCCAGGCATCAGTCACCCTTGGGTCAGGAGTAGGCACTCTGCAGACAGGAAGAACAAGAGTGATCCGGGCACTCCCAGGTGGGGGCTGGAGAGCAGAAGACCCCGGGAAGGGCCAGCTCCTGGGGAGGACTATCCTTCCCGGCAGCCTCAAAACTCGTGATCCCACTGCGTGCCAAGCCCCAGCCTCTTGGAGATGAGCATGTAATTAAATTAATCCCAGGGTTTACAGTAATGAGTGCTGGAGCCACAGGGGAGGGGACATCATTTCCCAGCTTGGCTGCCTGAGGGCAAAATGAGGGAGGTGACCCTGGGCTGGCCTGGCCAAGGGGTCCCCTTGGGTGCTCCCCTAACCCCTCTGGGGGCCATTGGACCAATTCTGGGGGATTCCCTATCCAGCTGCCAACCGGGGAGGAGGTGTCTCTCTACAATGTTCCTGTGTCCAGGAGCCAGACCTGAGCCCTCCTCACCCCGCCCTCTTCCTGGATCCCTTGCTCCCATGAGGAGGAAGTGGGGGGAAGCTGTGCAGCACAGTAGGCGGGAGTCACACAGCCTGCAGGTCTGCCAGGCCCTCCCCACTGGCGCTGTGCTGGCTCTATCCCAGGCACCCTGCGCTGGGTCCTGCCACTAGGACCAGGGCTCACTGGCCTTCTGGAAAGCTGTGAGGCATGGGCTGCGT